TTCAATCTCAATTTTTTTTTATTTTTAATTTATATTCATTTTGATCATAATTTGCTGATTGTGCTTTAGGGTTTTTCTTTTTTGATAAAAAAAGAACAGATGAAGAGTTCAATTTCTTCATTTACATATAAAGGTTCAATAGCGGAGGCAATTCTTGAATCCAAAAAACAAAAGAAACTTTTTGTTGTTTACATTTCAGGTAATTTTATTTTCTGTGTTTTTTAGTGTACTCTTTCTAAGGAATTATGCTATTTTTAGTTAAAATCTATCCCGAAGAATCTCAACCGTTGGATTTGGAGGACCAAGTGATGGCTGATTCAATGAATGAGATTTTTTTTCAAAAAATTTTAGGCTGAAGTTAGGGTTTCTCTGAAGGGAGTAATTCCGTGCATTGATTGGTGTTTAGTGTTGTAGCTTGTTAAAAGTTTGAACAGTTTTGAATGGTGAGAGATCAGATAGTTTCCCAGCTAATACTTTGAACCGGGGATTGCTAATTGCTAATAGTGGTGTGTAATGTAATGGCTAATATAACAGAGGGTGAAATTAGGGTTTCTTGGAAGTGAGTAATATTTTGAGGGTGGTTGTTAATTGTTTTGATATAAAGTGGAAGTGCTACTGTCGATTTTCAGGTGAAAATGTGGCATCGGCTGAATTGGGAAAATCCACTTGGACTGATTCTAAAGTAAGGCTTTTTTAGTTTTTTCTAATCTGGGATTGGTTTTCTGAATGATATCTAATATACCGAGTTATGGATCTAATATTGTTGTGCTGCATTAGGTGGCCGAGTCGCTCTCAAAGTACTGCATTTTATTGCATATCCTAGAAGGAAGCACTGATGCTTTGAATTTTTCTGCAATATGTATCCTCTATATGAAATTATTACCATTTTTTTCTCGTTATTATTATTATTTAAGTAAAGAAAGGTCATATATTTGAAAGGAAGGTTGTATCCTTGCATCAAGTTGAAATTACAGACCGACAGAAATCTGCTCCTTGTATAACAGCTATTGGCTACAATGGGGTTCAACTTTGGCAAAGTGGTATGGTGTTGTACTTGAAATCGTTGGTTTTAGTGCACATTTAATGTGATGTGTAATGGTGTTGTTGAGATTTGATTAATTTATGTTTTGTGTGATCGTGCAGAAGGGTTTGTTACTGCTGAAGTTTTGGCTTCTGGTTTAGAGAAAGCGTGGTTGGCCCTTCATATCCAGGTGTGCAAGTGCTTGTTTATCTTAGTTATGTGCAGAGTTTACAACACTCCTAGTCTTGTTATGCACTTTTGTGGCAACTCTCAATACCTGTGATTCCACTTTGAGCATTCGCTAATGCTCAAGGAGCTAAAGTTTGTTTGGACCATGTTGATTCAAATAGGAGATTGTTACTTGAGTATAAACCAGTTTAGATATCTTCATGTTTACTGGTTCAGCTGTTTTTTTCCTGCTCAAGCTATTTAGAGATTTCATGCTCTAGGACCCTTCACTCATTTCTGACTTATGCCTATTCCCCTTTCAAATTGAAATCTCTGATGACGAAGTGCAGGAAACAACAGCAACTGTCATGACTACAGCACTTGCTTCGAAGAAACCTGAACCACCTTCTGGGTCTTCTGATATTGGTTCCTCTGGGCAAGGAAGTTCTTCAGGTACAGTCGTTCCAGTGCCTTTGAAAGACAGGCATATCCAACCTTCAGAGGTTGGAACACAGGCTGTTGCTTCGGAGGTGATAGAAGAAAACAAAAGTCATGAACCTACTGCTGAGGTAATTAAGCAACAGCTCTCATGAGTTCTCTAATGGGTTTAATAACGGTATTAAATGCTTCAATTGTTTTGTTACTCACATGAACTGAAAACAATAACCAATTTGGGTGACAAGACATCTTCAAAATCATTTAATGTTCAGAAGTCGCAGACTGTTGGGGATGAGCGGTCCACTTGTCCCCCTGAAGAAGACAAGAAATCACCCAGTTCTTCGGTAACCAGCACAGACAATATCATAGCTGATCATACATCTCCTGCTGCTGAAGATGGACTTCTTGCCCAAGAAAAGAGTGTTAGTAATCATACAGTTGTTCCCACAGGAGGCTCGGAATTAAGTACTACTGAGATAAAAGTAGGAGGAGATAAAAAGGCAGAATCCATGGATGATATGGTGCCCGGGACATTGAATAATAATAAAAAAGTTAATGTATCAAGTGATGTTCATTTAAATATCCGTCTGCCTGATGGTGTTAGCTTACAGGAGAAGTTTTCTGTGACAAGCACTTTGAGAATGGTTAAAAATTATGTGGACAGAAACCAAGCAAGTGGCATTGGTGCATATGATCTTGCCATTCCTTATCCTCGCAAGACATTCACTGATCAAGGTATGCACATCAAATATCTACTGTATCTCATTGTTTTTGTGGCACGATGCTTTGGTTACATAGCAGTGATATTTTTCTTTTGTTGTTTTATTTCATATTCTTGAAATTCATTTCATTAAGAAGCATTCTGAATATGCTTTTTGTTATTTTTTATTGCATTTTTTTCTCAAGAAGTTTTATGTTGATACCTTCATAGACAAGGCCTACTAAATTAAGTTCACGCCAATTATCAATTTGTTTTTCATTTTAACCTGTTGCAGATTTGAATAAATCATTATCAGAGTTGTCTCTACTTAATAGACAAGCATTGATAGTGGTTCCTCGTCAGCGAGCCACAAGTTACCATCAAAGAGGTTCTTTGTCAGACAGAGCAACTGCTACAACTAGCAGTGGTTTAGTAAATGCAAATGACTGGGGATATTTTGCATATGTCAAAAGGGTTCTATCCTACATTAATCCTCTCTCCTACTTTGGTGGTAGTGCAAACTCATCAAGTTCTGGACAAGCTCAATCTGCCATAGGGGAATATGGTGAGTTTCCATACCTTACTAATGATTCATTTATACTTATTTGGGCCTAACATCTGAAATGAAAATTGCCTCTTTGAAGGCTAATTTCTTATCGAGTCTCTAAAATTGCATATATTCTGGAACTGTTAAAACATTATTCTAAGATATGGTGGATGCGTTTGGTTTTGTGGTCTGAATTTGGTGATTTTCCCCCGGTTGACAGTCTTATCAGTGGCTCTTCATTTTCTCTGCATTATTTTTCTGGAATGAGTTTTTTCATATCACTTTTGAGTGTTATGAGAATGGAGAGGCTTGTGGATTGAGCAGGTCAGCGGGGTGTCAGGAGCTGATGGCTTGCTGAAAATGAAAAAGTGGAAGCTTTCATCTTTTAGCTCGTTCTATTTTTGAAATTAAAGTGAAAAGCTCTTCAGAATGTGCAAAGTTTGAAATAGTAGTCCATTTCTTCAATTAGCTTTTACAGATAAATTTCTTCATTCATTTCTCATGTTCATGAAATCTACGGAAATAGTTTGTGCAGAAACAAGTGGCAATTGCTGGAAAACTAGTGTGGCAAGGTGCTTAGCTTAGAGAACATTCTGTCTTCTAACTTCACAGTTAAATATCATCTTTTTATACATCACCCATGTTTGTGAATTAGTTGAAATAACTGGTCACAAAGTGCTTTCATGGAACATACTTCATAATCATTGGCTTCAACATCGCAGGCCCAGATTCAACATCTCAGAATAACACTCCAAGAGTGGACAGACCCTACTCCAGTTACTCCCCAAATCAAAACACTCCATCAACTGGCAGAAATGACAGCAAGGGCAAGCAACCAACAACTTCACGCATTGGGAGCAACATTCACACCCTGAAACATGACGAAGATGATGGCCGATTCAGTGAAAGAAATTCCTTCTGGAATGGAAATTCAACTCAATATGGTGGTGATAATGATGCTAAATAGGAAGTTGATGCTCCTTGATCTTGTGAGGAGCTTCAGTTCTTTATGTTTTTTCACAAGTTTTTACTTTGGGGCAGTGATCTTTTCTGAAATAGGTGTGAGTACATATTACCAGATAAAAGCATGAAAATTAGGTATATATTCCTATTTGCTAACAATAAAACCTTCAAGGAATAAGAAGTTAACAAAGTTCCATAATTGCTCCAAAAATTTATTTATGCCTTGTGCAGTTGTGAATGGTAGACTGTCAAGAGTCGACTTGATGATGATCTTTGCTGAACAACCCCCTCAAGTCTTGATACTTGCATCTGGCCAGGAAGTATCATGACTCCTTGTCCATGTTATATGATATGAAAGGGTTACCATCTGATTCCCAGTATGGCCTCCTTTGTCATTTAAATCAGAAGCCAAAACGGAAAAACGAAAGAAAATGGCATGCAGTTCATTGGCTATAACTTAGGCATCATGCTATTTTCAGTTTATTTTCCAAAAAATTTCCCAGTTTCCGGTCTCTGGGTGATTCATCACCGCATCAATCTCTCTCCTACAATCCCTCTCAAGACTTCAAGTTCTGATTTACAAGCATTCACTAGTTAATATACAGGTTAAATATAACCAACGGTGCAATTTTTACTTTTCAGAAATATCAATTTTCTTTATTTTATACAACCACAGTAAACACAAGTTGAAGAGTAATCTTGCTTTAATATAATTAGACAACTCCTAATGAACTAACTAACAAAAATTCGCCGCCTCTACTGATATATGATTCAACATAATATATATATTTTTTATTATTAATATGAGTATTAGATTAACTTATATATATTGGATTAATTTTATAAATTTTAAATTTAATAATTATGTAAGTTTTTAGTGATCCTAAGGTTTGTAAAAAATTTAAAATCATAATTTTTAAAAAACAAATCCATACCTAATTAGTTAAGTTACACCCATGAAGTTAATTCAACACAATACTTGAATTCTAAGGTAATTTAAAATGATAATGTAATAAGTTAGACGACATCATTTTTTATTAATTTTTATGAAGAGTTGAACTAAATTGACTGATCCGCTTATTGATCTGCTAAGTTATCCAAACCTGAGTTGGTTTATAACACTGCAATGAAGTTGTATTCTAATCCAACAGACAATAATTTCATAGACATTTGCCTACATGGATTAATGAAGAAGTTTCTTGTATTAATCAAATGGCCTTGTATAAATACAAGTTAAGCCAACAAGCTCTTTATTTATTTGGTGCACACATGACGACAGCACAATAATTAATATTTTACGAGAATGCTGCTAATTTGGGCTTAGGGGGATTAACCAAGCAGATGTCGAGGAGACTATCAACGGAAGTGTACTTGTAGTCAGGATATAACTCGGAAGCCTCCAAATCATCTGCTGTGAGTTCAAAGCTCATCTGATCACCTTTGATGAATATGCTGTGCAGGATCGACGGTGGGACGTTTTCTGGGAAGGACAAGGCTGCGTTGTCCACCATGGCAAAGTTTATCAAACACCATAACATATAACATACAATGTAATGTAACAACATGTCAATATCGAGACATTTCAGGTAAATTTGGTTGTCGTTTCCAGACAGAAAAGGTGAAAACAGTGGAAGAAAAAAACAAACAGTGAAGATAAAGAACATGTTTTTCAATATCTCTTGTTTTCAAAGAGTAAAAATTCATTTCAAAACCCGTTCTAAAAACATATTTTTTTAATGTTTTTATCGTCAAACACTAACCCAACGGGGTCATCCATGTGCTGAATGAATTTCATAACATCCTTTCAGAAAAGCTTAAGCCATGCATGCATTTAGCTGTTGTTTTATCCAGTGTTTCATCAACGTGGGCTCAAAGCATATAAAAAGTAATTTCAGATGTGACGACTTACACTCAGAGAGCTTCACGATTTCTTCCTCAGGGACATGGATTTTCTTGAGAGTTCGTCCAGTCTTTTTCTCCCAAGAAGATATTAAACATAGTTAGGAAACAATGTTTCCAGGGGGCCTGTAGATGATGACACGATTGGCGACCCTTGGATCTGTTGCTGCTTTCACTGTATAGGCTGCCACATCTTCTTCGTAATTCAACACAGCTTCAAGTGACAAAAGAAAAGAAAAGAAAAACAATTAGGCAAATGCTATAATAATAGAACTCCTTAACGCATTATTAATAATTAACCACCATCATGTTAATCTTATTGATTTCCAAAGAAAATCCTTAACGCACAATTTAAAAATCATCCAATAATACCACACTTCTTAAATAAAATTAGATATTTTATGATAATATAAATAATTACTTTATGAATAATGTGTTTTTTTTTAAAAAACATTTCTTATAAATATTCAACGAGAATAAAATATATATTTATTATTTTTTAATTATATTTTTTCTTTTATAATCTTATCAAATTAATTATTCTTTTATTTTTTCATACAATCACGTGAAAGTTAATATGCAACCACATAAAAGTTATCGAAAGATAATTTTTTTTAATATAAACATGTTTTTAATACTAGAATAAGTTTTTATCATTAATAAAAAGATAATTTTTATAAAAACAAAAAAGAAATGCATAAATAAAATATAGGATTTTAACTAAAGCAAATATTGAAAAAAAATCATAAAACTCAAGAAAAAACTGTCTGCACAACACAATAATTTAATTAATATCTCGACAATTATAGATCTTTTCCAGCAAAAAAAAGTGTTTTTTACATGTTTTTCAATGTATTTATAGATTCAAATTTAGTGCGAGATTGACACGTAAATCAGGTTTGATATAGAATTTGGTAAGGTCAAATTAAATAGCTTGAAAAATAATGCGAAAAAAGAAAAAAAAAGTAAAACGCTAGTGTATGTGGGTGGGTGGGTCAATTGCAATGAACTCACCTTTGGCTTCACCGCTTCCATAAACAATAACTTCTTCTCTTTTCTCATGGGGATGGAGCAAGTAATCCACAAAATATGCAGCAAAGGAGTTTGCAGAGACGTAAGTGTAAGAAAGTCCAGCAGCTTCTGATGCTCTCCTGATCTTCCTTTTGTTATCAAGCACTGATTCGAAAGGTGGCAGCCCACTAACTCTATCGACCTCTTCTGATGGCACAAACCTCTAACAGAACACGCACAAAAGATCATGACAGGCTTGAGCTAGTTAGCCAGCATTTCTCCAAGAAGGGATACGGTATAACTTACTTTGATGTTACCAGCTTCTTTCATAGCACTAATTATTTTGAGTTGGTCTAGATGCTGAGGAACTGCAAGAGTAGAAATCACTACATCTACTTGTTTTACTGCTGAAACAAGCTTGTCATGCTCTTCCAACTCTCCCTGTCAAATTATACACACTGCATCAATTAAGATTGGATTACACCAAGGACATTCTTGGCACCACATATGTATAACATCTTATCCCTATATATAGGCTATAAGTATCTTGAGACCGAGTCTCTTCTTTGTAAATAGAAAGAACTTCTGTATACGTACGTACATGCATGCTAATGAATCGAAATTAGTAAGTAAAGATAAAGTTTATGGATGTTGAATGGAAGAAGCAAAGTGTTTACTTAATTGGAATACAGTGACTCCCATGGATTCGAATTCCTTGAGGAGGTCTAGCTTGGAAGGATTGGTGTCTGGTTTGACAGGGCGAACATAAGCGTAGGTTGGATGGCCCATCGAGAGGCTTGCCTTGATCATGTATAAGCCAAGATACCCAGTCCCTCCAAATACTAGTATCTTGCTCTTCTCACAAGCCATGGTTCTTTGTTGTTCTTTATTTCTCAAGTGCTTCTTGCAGTCTGTTGCAATAGCCAGGAAATACTTCACTTGAAGCTTGGAACGTTGATCTTTATATAGGAAAAGTATCCCTTCACTATTCCCTGGCAGGCTATAGCAGTGCCTTCACAAACTGCTTTTCACTTTTTTTTCCCAAGAATTAAAAAAAAAATGAGAAAAAAAAATGGTTTGGTTGCATGCATGTTCTTATACTTGAGATGTTACCTTTTCTTTTGCCTTGTTTGAACTTTTTTTTTTATTCTTATTATTATTTTGTCATGCCTTGCAATATTGGTAACAATTTCATCCATTAATTATATTATTACTGCCATGAAGGAAATTGAATTAGAAGACAAACCCTATGTTTCTCCTTTTTGACAAATCATAGGTTATGCTCCGAACAAGACAAGAGAAGAAGAAGAGTCATTGCATAGGCTGCTATCTTTCGTAATGTAAAATATATATATAAAAAATAATTAAAATATTTTTCTTGAAAAACTACAGTTAATCGGGAAAAACAAAAACTACCTGAGTCTTTGATCTGTAAGAAAAAAAGAAAAAATTCCTTTGACCTTTAAAATAATAATAGTTGTTGAAGCTTGGAACACTGATTTTTATTCAGGAGAATATTATAAAAATGTCTTATTTTGTTAAATTTTGAGGTTTGTTAACTCCCCTATTCTCTTCTTTCCCCTTTAGAAGCATCCGCTTGCTTTTAGGTTTTTTGATTTATAATCAAAATTAAAAAAACATATTTAAAATGTTTATATATTTATTTTTTTAATAAAAAAATTATTTAGCTTGGAGTAAAATTCGAGTCAAGTAATAATTTGTATCTTGACTATTCCTAATAGGATATTTAGTACCTTCAAAAACTATTTTTCACAATATTCATGTTTTTCATATTCTTTTTAAAAAATACGGTTCCAAACCTTTCTCGAAAATTATTTTTTAAAAAGAAATTATTAAGACAATTTTTTTTTTTTTAGTATGTCTTTGAGCCCTCACCTCATTTCTTTTTAAGTGTGCCTATGAATTTTCGACCATTAAAGGTAATGTATTTTCTACTCTATTTCATTTTGAGTATGTCTTTGTGCCTTCATCGTATTTTTTTTCAAGTGCGTCTTCAAGCACTCGACCACTATATTGAGCAAATTCACAATGGTGATAGTTTCAACCAGTTTTATTAAACTTGGCCCTGCCCGACGAGTTGACCAATGACTCGAGCGAACCAGGACGAGACCTGTTTTTTTTTTTTTAAATGTGAGATTTAAAACCTATTAGTATATATATTCTATATTCTCAAGAAAAAAAGTCATATTTTTTCAATGTGGGATAAAAAAACCTTTTGGTTTAAATATTTAACTTAAAAGGATAACATAGTATCTTTTCAATGTAGGATTTGAAGCCCTTTTGTATATATATTCTATATTCCCAAGAAAAAATCATGTTTTTTTTAATGTGGGATAAAAAACCTTTTGGTTTAAATACTGAAACTTAGAAGAATAGCATAATATCTTTTCAATATGAGATTTGAAGCTCTATGTTCTCATGAAAAAAGTTATATTTTTTCAATATGGGATTTGAAACCCATTAATATATATACTCTATGTTCCCAAGAAAAAAAATCATATTTTTTCAATATGGGATAAAAAACATTTTGGTTTAAATACTTTAACTTAAAAGGATAATATAATATTTTTTCAATGTGGGATTTAAAATACTTTTATATATATACTCTATGTTCTTATAAAAGCAGTTATGTTTTTTCAATATGAGATTTGAAACCTATTAGCATATATATTTTATGTTTCCAAGAAACAAGTTATGTTTTTTCAATGTGAGATAAAAAAACTTTTTTGGTTTAAATACTTCAACTTAAAAGCTTAACATAATATTGTTTTAATATAGGATAATTTTTTTTAAAATATTCTTTTAAAATTCATTGTTTACAATATATAATACCTATATTTATATAAATTTTTTCATATAAAATATTAAAACTTTAATTTTTTTAATTTTTTTAAGTTGATATGATTTGACTCATAAAACTAAAAACTCAATTTCTTAATTGGATTAATTTTTGGACTGAGTTTAATAACTATAGTTTCAATGATTTCAAAGTGACCCAATTGGTGCTGTGCTATCCTTTCCAACTACGTGGTCACCTGGTAAAAAGAAATTGAACTTTTTTTTTTTTTAGATTAACGTGGGTGTCAGGGCCAGCTTGCGCGCACCACGACTAATCCCACGGGCCCTGAAGTTAACGACCATGTAAGTCTCCAGTGGCCATCATATGAGCAACCAAGGACTCGAACCTGAGACCATAGAGGGAGCAAACCCCTTAGTCCCAAGTCTTTACCACTTGGCCACCACCTAGATGGTTAAAGAAATTGAACTTTGCTTGTGTGGGAAGATGTCATGTATATATATTATTTGTAATAATTTGACATATATGCATGGAAAAAAAAAACTTGATATGAAGATATCTTTAATTTAGAAAAAAATGAAAAAAAATTAAATGGTTTGGTTGCAAGCATAATATTATTAATATTATTTCGGTATGCATTGAGATGTTAACTATTGCATCCAAAATTTTATTAGTGACTTGTCTTGTATTACATTTCAAATGGAGATCAAATAAAATTTAAAATTTATTTTTTGTTTAAAATTATTTTTTATATATTTTTAAATTATTTTGATATGTTAATATTAAAAAAAATTAAAAAATAAATCAAAATAATATTTTAATAAATTTTTAAATTAAAAATATTTTAAAAAATAACTATTATCACACTTCCAACCACGAAATAAATTCAATTAGAAGAGAACTCCCTGTTTTTTCTTTACGGCAAAACCATAGATAGATATTCTCCCATGAAAGAAAGATCAGATCAAGTTTACCAGTTCCAGGTTAGATCTGGCGTGAGCAAGAGGAGGCAGCTTTAAGCCCATGAATCTCGTCTCCCTCACCTCATCTTGGCATCATTTTTCACGCAGAAATCACGCTTTCTAACAACACCCCTCCCGGTCCTTCTCACTCATGTCTGCTTCCTTTCTAGAGTCTATGCTAGCTCTAGGTCATCAATGGCAGCCCCACTTTGTCCTCTCTTCGAGGCTTGTACTGGACCATTTTTTTTAACAACCAATACGCAACTTCAGAGTTGACAAGTCACCACACCAACCAATGTGGTCAGCTCACGTATGAATGGCTGATGTTGTCTTGTTTTACCATGTGTATCACGAAATATTGTGCGGACGAAGGGCCTTCAAAATGAAAATTGGAAGTTTCACTTTGGACCATGAATTGGAGCCATGGTAAGATTTTTGTGTTGATTGATTAAGGTTTATTGTTTTCTTGTTTGCGGGGGATTGTACTTCATAAGTATGACAAGAGAAAAATTATTACCTTACATTTTCAAATATGTTATTTTTAACTCTAAAAGAATCTCGTAATGGATCATAAATTATAAATATTTTTATCCTGATAAATTATAATTATTTTTATCATGACAAGATAATAGTATTTTATTCTAAGACATAATAAATTTTTATCTCAACAAAATAAATGTATCTTATTGATAAGTTAATTCTTTCTCCTAAAATGAAGGGAGAGATCTCAAGAGCTATAAAAAAAAAATAACTGTGAGAGGGTGGAGTTTTATATATCTCTATTTTACAATGATAAATCTATTCTAAAATGATATTTTTTTTCAGAAATATAATTGATCTCTTTATGAACCGATGCCAATTTAATTGTCGGAGAATCTTCAAATAGATAACAAAGAACCTTTTACATATAACAAGAATGGTTTATCAGCCATTTTGCCAAGGAATAATGGATTGGATTGCCGAAACTATAAAATTAACAATCTTATCTCAAGCCCCAACTTGGCTTTCAAAGCCGTGTGATAAAAACGTGTTTCATCACATATTATTCTCAAGGATAAGGTCATTAAAGAAAAGATTAATAACTTCTTCCACGCATTCCCCTTTTCTTGTGAAATATCATGCTTGTCAGTTAAGAGTACCATCATGTATGGTTATAAAACCAAAATAGTCTAGCGGGTAGACCCTACATCTGGTTGACCCAAGTTCTAGACCAAACCAACTTAAAAAAAATATAGAAAAAAACATGATTGATTCAGTTAAAAATCTGAATTAACCCACTAACTCAATCAACTTGAGTCTAACCTAGTTAAAACTCAATACTCAACCTATTGACTAAAAATTTTTAATCAAAATAAGATCACTTTAATCTTTTTTTAATAAAAAGATGAATCAACTTACATTGACTTATAATAACCCTCTTGATCCATGACCCTATCTTGTCCTGAATCAAGCTCTAGGACGAGGTGTAACAACTATGATAACATGGCAAAGCAAGTTTCTCCGAAATTCTTTTTTATTCTTGCTTTTTCCCATCCCTCCATGTTATATATTAATATATCCAATATTAAAGAACAAATCTGTCATCCATGCAAATATATAAATATCAATCCTTAATGATATTAAAGAAAGTTTTAAAGGGACATACTTAATTAAACAAGATTACCTAGAATATCCACTAAAATTCAATTCAAAATTAACTGAACCAAATAGTTTTCAAAGTTATTGGAAAATTTTGGTTAGAATTTTTTTTTAAAAAAATTGATTTGACTTTGGTTTTAAATTTTAAAAACTAAAAAAAAATCCAAATTAAACTAAAACAAAAAAAATGATTTGATTTTGGTTTTAAATTTTAAAAACTAAAAAAAAAACAATCCAAATTAAACTAAAACAAACCAAACTGTTAGAATTATTAAAATTTGTCAAAAAAAAGCCTAATTAAAAATATCATAACCCAATTTCTGGATCCATGATTGGCATATAGGCAAAATTTCCCTCCAGGATTCAATACTTATGCGAACCCAAACTCATATATGAACTTATTTTTTAAATAACTCAATCAGAGTTTAATGTAACAATAATAACAAAACTAACTTTATAATATAATTTGATTATCTTAATACAAGAGTTAATATAAATTTATAGTTGTGGAGCATTAAC